CCCCAAAACCCCAAAACCCCAAAACCCCTTTAAAGACTCTTTTTATTGAAACTAATCTTTAGTCCTAAATTATTGAATCCAAGCCTAATTCAGCTTCTTTTATTTCTTACATTAATTTCCCCAAACTTCTAAACTTGTTAATTTCCAAGACTATCCTTCTTCTAAAATTTTGTTTGTCCCTATGAAACTTGCCTCTTTTCAGTACAATCTCTTCCCAATATTTATCATTAACAATTCTTTAGCTGTATTCTTGCCGTTTACTACTACATGAATTCAGTTCAAGTGGAATATGCCTATGACGTACTTAGGGTTTTGTATTGGCTTCAGAGTTTAGGTTTTATTCCTAGAGATTTTGGATGAGTTACAGTAGAATTTTGTTTGGTAGATTTGGACTTTTAAAGGAAATTTTTAGTAAAATTTTTGTGAATATTTCGTATTTTTGAGATTTAGTCAGGGTTCTATGGTTTGAGATTATACAGATTGTATCGAGGAAGTGTGGATGTTTATATAACTCTCTTTTTGGGTTTTGATATATATAATTTGGATGAATCCTCTTTAATTCAAATAAATCATCACTTAAAAGGTAGTTTAGCTGTCTTTTTACTCTAAAATCTTTGAATAACTTAAGTATGTAGTGAATTATTCTTGCAAATTCTATGCTACAATGGGAAATAATAGTATACAGCGAATTAAGCACTGAGGCACTGTTAATTTAAAAAGTTGCAAGTTAGAACTTGGTCATAACTCATCTAATTAATAAGGACATGCTATTGAAAAAGCTGTATATTGGCTGTATTTTAAGTTTGGTATCTCATGACAGGTTCTCGTATGAGCTTTTATATGTGAATAATTTCAGAAAAGAATTACATAATTGTATCAAATGAAACCTACAATAATTGAAGCTATTGACAATTGATAGGGAATTAAATGATCTTGTTCTCTTTTTTTGCTCAAAAGACTCAGTTGCTTTTCAAAGAGAAAATAGTGAAAGCACTTATGTCTCTGATATTTCTTTTTTAGTGATATTGAGCTGAGAATGTTGCTGTAATATTTTTTTTTTTATAATTTGTCCAACTCTCACTAATTTACTGGTAATTTAGCCATTAAATTTTAGGAATAAGGATTATTCCTACAGTCCCATATGCTTTGCTTAACATTATTTATTCAGTATGGACTAGATGTTTCTCCAATCTGTAACATGAAATTTTAGCAATAACGCAGATGCATATAATTATAATTACATGCAGATTTTAGTGCCTAAACAATTTCCTTTGTTAAACTTCGTTTCTCATATTTTGGATTCTTAGAAGTATAAGAGTTTTGATTCTATCGAATTTACTACATTTTTTACAATCTTACTATTTAATGATTTGTTGACTTAAGTCCTTTGAAAATTATTTCAGTTCTTTTAAAAGATTTTATAAGAAATTTAATGATTAACTCAAAGCAGGAATCAAACCTGAGTGTTATTTTAATACCAAAACTCTCTTCTTATCACTTTCTATATCTTTCTGTTCACAATATCAAAAAGCCAGAACACCTTGATCTTGTTCTTCACACTAATAACCTCCACATATTCCGAATCTATTCCTAAATCCTTGGCATATCCCTGAAGCCAATAAAGGAACTAGGGGCCTTCTTAAATCCCAACTTCTTTACAAAAGTTAGAGACTTGTAATGAGCAAGCAGGCTGCAGACTAAGCTAGGGGTGTTTGTAGTATTTTTTGTATTAAATAGGAGTTTCAGAGTAGGACTTGTACAACTTAAAATGGTAGTAAGAGATGTTATGGTATAGGTGAGAGGAAGTATATTGGAAATTGGGAAATTAGGGTTGGATGGGGGTTTAGAGGGATTTTGACCATTTTTAAGTGCTTTAATCTCTGTTTTGATGGGCTAGGTGTGGTTATTGTTGAGGGAATCGCATTTGGTATTAAAATGTTATTGGATGTTTAGTTCAATCTGTTTGATATCTGTGGGGTTTTGGGGTTTTGGGGTTTTGGGG